TAAAAGCCAATTTGTTTAATCGTAAGAATACAAATTATCTTCATTATCTTGATTCTTATAAAATAGAATTAAATAGAATTAAATAGAATTTTTTTGTAGTTCCGTGGGAAGTGGGAAAATCTAGTGATGCGGAACATGGAATGACACAAGGTCTTGTTTTGGATGTACCATCCATGGAGAAAGCACGGGAATCCTTTCGTTTGACATGGCGTATGGAAACGAACACCGAGAATTCAAAGTAAAAAACTTGTAGTTCCTCTGCAGTCGCTGATTGTGTCTCTTCAAATTTGGTTAGTCAGGGAAAGTCGATGTTTGATGTTTTGAAGGAATCACGTGAAATTGTCAGGCCTGATAAGAATGAGGTCGACATATTTCTTGATGAGCCTCTTTCTCCGGAAGAACAATGCCCATTGAAGTTTTGGAAAGACAACTCCTACCGATTTCCCAAACTCAGTCGTCTAGCCAAAAAGTTCTTGTCAATTCCTGCAAGTTCTGCAGGAATTGAGCGAATCTCCTGCTCGACTTCTGGGGCAATTTCTCAAGGACGTCGAGCAAGAACTTCTGTGCGAAATATGACCAACTTACTTTTGTACAGACAATACCAAGCCCCAATTCTAAAATCAAGTTTGGAGACAATGAAGCGAAAAGGAGACTCCAAAAATAACGCTGCGAAGAAAAGCAAAACCATTAATCTATTAACTAATTGATTATTACAAACTAGGTCAAATCCTGGAGGCTACTGTTTGTTGATATTAACGTAAGCTTGGAATGAATTTGTATTTAATTTTGCAAAATGGTTAGCTGAAGCATATCTACATATACATGCATAAATATAGTATGCCACGATATTGTAGACGCTTCACACTTGCTAGTTTCTGGACCGGTGCATCACTGGAGCGCAAAAGATGCGCACCGAACCACACCGCGAACCACACCCGGTGTGGTGCGGTGTGGTTCGCTGGATTTTCGACTTTTGCTGGTGTGGTTCGCGGTGTGGTGCGCTGAATTTTTAATTTTTGCCGGTGTGGTTCGCGGTGTGGTGCGCAAAGTTTAAGACTTGGCCGGTGTGGTTCGCGGTGTGGTGCGCTGACCCAAACTAGCAAGAGTGAATAGGTTAGCGCAATTTTTTTGGTGAGAACCAAATTATCAAAATTTCAGTGATTTAGAAAAAATTGAAAAACTGAAATTTCGAGACAACTCGAAAAAGCTGTCGAGGTATGGCGTTCGTGAATCCAAAACACCTCTAATTTTGAAAAGTACCCACCGGTTCATTTTCTATGAATTTCCCCGTGCGACCCTCATCGAAGGCTGATATGGCCATTACACCCACTGGGGTGACCTGACACCCAAAAAATTATGTCTCAACAACGTTTTTCGACCAGTTTGCCTTATCCATATACTGAAAGTATACCTTAAAAATTGTCGTTGTTTGTCGTTGTCGAATCGCATAATTCTTGCTCCATAGTATATATGTGTGCTAATATTCCTTAAGTTTAAATAAATGAAAAGTCGGTTTAGAATGTTAACATGTTAACTACGTTTTGAAATTAATTTAAAAGTATTTTTTATGATCCATAGAAAAGTATTAGAGTCCAAATAAAATGAGCTGCAATTTTACAGCAACATTTTTAACTCGACAAAAAAGATACGCAAATATTTATTTATTACTAACAATATTTTAAGTATTGCGATACATAACGAAATTTGTAAAATTTCTTGATTTGATTAACTAATTTTTCACAATTTTTCAGAGCATACACCGTATTCTTGGTTAAAGTAACCTCCTGGTGGGCATTCTAAGTGGACAATATCCCAAAATTCTCCATCATCATTCCAAAAGCACTGGTAGAAGGATGTCCTGCGTAAAATTAAAGTCATTTTTTCACTATTCAATGTAAATGATGGGTGGCTTAAATATCTTGCTACGTACTATTCAAAATTTTGCAATGTGAAAAACTCATAAATCTATTATAGCTAATAAGATTTGGAATTGAAATTTCTATTAATTACTCAACCTTAATATTAAAATTGATCAAGCATAATCACATAATTATTAAATTGGGGAATTTTAGAGTCAAAACTGCGGTAACAAAATTTACGATTTTTTTATTTTGAAAAATTTTCCTTTCTAGTGAGACATTTTAGCCACCCTGTATATTAATTCGGACAAAAAGTCGTGTCAAACTTACGCAGCGTCCGGATCCGCAAATGCCTCCGTCCCCAGGCAAGAGTCGTTACTAATTTTCGTCTCATAACCCAAAAATCCTTGAATATGGTCATACACGCTTTTAGCTGAAGTGTCCTCGACTAAAACTCCGGCCAGCAGAAGCACCTAAATTCAGAATTATATAACACCAATAAATTTGAGTAATACGAGTAATTTTGTGTACTTGTAAAACTAAAAAATAATTAAAATTTACGAAAAATGTAGTCTTGCAAATAAGTTGGAACCCCATTTTGCCTCCTGTGTTCGGTTGGAGTGCTGGTAAAATACTGACAAAGAAGATTGAAACGCTCCATTGTACATATTTATAAAACACTTAATCCCCATTCATTGCCGAAATCTGTATGATTCTCTTGTCAAACAAGTTCCGACTTAATTAATATATTGTTACCATGGATACTTATAAATTGCAAATATTCCGAGAACGGCGTGAGTCTAATTTGCATGTAAGTAGTATCTAATTCGTCGGCCGTCTTGCATCACTTGTACAACAATTTTATGGATAGCTCATAAAATCATCTGATTCGGGATTAGTTGTATATTTATATGCAATATATTATTTTTTAGCTCTTAGCGTCATAATCATAGATCGGAGTACTCCGGGCTTGGAGTACGTACTCCGGCCTCCGGAGGCCGGAGTACGCGACTATTTCTGGAGGCCGGAGTACGCGGAGGCCGGAGTACACGTGGCCAGCCGGAGGCCGGAGTACGCGGAGGCCGGAGTACGCATGGCCGGCCGGAGGCCGGAGTACGCGGAGGCCGGAGTACGCAAAATTTCCGATCACATAGATAGGAGAATTCCGGGCTTGGAGTACGTACTCCGGCCTCCGGAGGCCGGAGTACGCGACTTTTTCTGGAGGCCGGAGTACGCGGAGGCCGTAGTACGCGTGGCCAGCCGGAGGCCGGAGTACGCGGAGGCCGGAGTACGCATGGCCGGCCGGAGGCCGGAGTACGCGGAGGCCGGAGTACGCAAAATATCCGATCTATGGTCATAATTATTTGATGCTTAGCTGTATTTAATTCTTCATTAAGTCACTGACATTGCAAAATAAAGAGAAAATCATAGTAATAACAAAGTAATAGTAATGCAAAATAATAATAATATTATCTTTTTTACGTTTCTGCTATTTTTATACTCCATAGCTACAGTTACAGATATGGCAATCATGGTCACAAATTTTCAATCAGTCGATAGCAAACCTACATATTTTCATTGTTTCAATGTCACCGTTGAAAATGTGCATGCCGCTCAGGATTTTGTGATAACTTTAATTAATCTTTCAATCATGTTTTCACATTTAAACATGACATCTTAAGAATAAGACCATACACAAATTGCTAAGTGAACACGCGCTTTAACCATGGCAGGATCAGTTTATATATTACGGAATTTTACAACATTGGTGTAATAATTCCTGTAATTTGCAGGAATTAACCCATTAACAAGTTATTTGTAGACATGGATTTGCCGAAGTGCAATTTCAACAGATTTCTTAACTGCGCAGTATGGACAATTATGCACAAGTACTTTGCGGCATGTTGCATGTCATGCTCAAAAATGCGGCTGCAATTAATTTATAATCGAATTAAATAATCAAATAATTAAATAATATGTATGCACAACTATTAAATCCAAGAAATTATATTGGGTTGAATCTCTTTCGCAACCAATTAAGTGCACCGACCGTTGGTAATAAGTACAACTGTTCGAATTGCATCAAAACAAGTTCACTGTCAATGTAATTTATGGATATATACATCATCAACAAATAAGCAGCTTATTGAGCTTACAATAAGCTCATTGTCGCGGTACATTTGGTTTGAGTATTAACCAACTAGGTACGCTTGCAAGGTGTTAGGTGAGATATGACATGCCATTACAAAACGAATACACACTTAGTCTGGAATATTGTATAGGCAGGAGTTGTTAAACTAAATAAATAATCGCATTTTTAGATGAGTAATTATCTAAACAATTAGACAGGAATTGGGCTTCGATTAACGTGAGATTATTTGGTTAAGGTGAAGGCAAATTTTAAGACGTAATATGCAAATGAGAAAAAAACCGCACAGAAATTATGAAAAATGCTGTCTTCCAAATTGATTTAAACACCATTTTTTCTAGTTCTATGCCTTCACACGTTCAGAATCGGAAACCAGAATCATTACGGTTCATACTATGCACAAAATTGTTTTAAGATTTTTATATACTTGCAGAATTAATGTGATGCTCTTGTTAGATTGGAGAGTGAAAGGGGTCCGGCTTAGCTAATGTATTCCGCTGGATGTAATCATTCTTCAATGGCGCATAATTTGGGATAAAAACCGGAAAGAAAATTTCAAAACGTGGAAAGTAAATGTTCTTTAACAACAAAGCTGAGTACTCTCCCGCAACAATTTGTGAACAAGTTCTTGCAAATTTCTTCAATCAGCTTTTGAAAATTAGCATTAGCTTAAAAAGCTGCATGACCATAAATAGGTTGAATTTGATGTATTGCTTGGTATAAAAGAAACGGCAAGCTGGTATGGAGATTTCAGTAGTATACCTAGTGCGACAATGTTATGACTGGCGGCCACGACTGACCCAATTTAATTATTCTGCATTACATACGTGTGATGCAATACTACCGATAATTAATATGTCGGACAATTATTTTTAACAATAATTATATCCAGGGTAATAATGTCGGAACTCTTTATTTTCCGATCTGACAAGAGTGTCGGATTGATTTGCCTTTATATAAATAGAGATGCGTTATTCGTAGTATGACAAATTCCCATCGTGGCTTGCTGTAAGTACAACCAAGCAAAAAAATGGGATTCAAATTAATTTGCATGACGGCATTATCCGTAAGTTTCCGTCTCATTTTCCTGACATAATTCATACTCTACTTATGTACATAAATTTATTATCCAAATTGATTCTTGCTCCGTGCAAATTTAGGTCTTTGTGGTAGTCACAATCTTACTGGATTGCTCTGTTGCAAAGAATATCTATCAAAACAACGATTCAAACTTTTTGAGAATCAAATGGAGAATCGGGATTTTGGATGAACTTACCAACGACACTTGCGTTGATGAATTACCTTTTCCAGATCCTGACGATATGTGATACTCAACATTTTTTTACATTCATAAGACTGTGAATCAACTTTGTAATTATTTGCAGAACATGGTTTTATCAATGCTTTTTGGCTGGTGACTACTATGTACTCGTTCATCTTGAATGCGACACGGGAGGCTACTACGATGAGATTTCAGGCGCGTGCGAAGAGTTTCCAGGTAATTTTTGTATTCCTTTAAATTTTAATACAGATGAGAAAATAAGATTTTCAAATTTGTTTTAGTCACCGAACCGCCAACAACACCGGAACCCACGACGCCAGCCCCATTCCAGTGCGGCGACGTCGAAGGTAAATTTCCTGACCCCTCAGACTGCACAAAGTACAATCGCTGCGTATTAGTCAGCGGAGTCATGCGGTTGTACAAATACGTTTGCACTGCTGGTTCATATTTTGACGAGGCCCAGGCAATGTGTGTTGTTGGAGTTTGTCCAGGCTCAACTTCTCCAACAACTGAGTCTTCGTTAAGTACTGAGCCTTCCACAGTACCCACGACTACAGCGGAACCCACAACCACACCGGCTCCAACGACCACAGCAGCACCCACCACGCCACCCCCGTTCCAATGCGGAACCATCGAAGGCACCTTTCCCGAACCAACAGATTGCACAAAATATAATCGCTGCGTAATGATCGCCGGAGTCATGCGGTTATATGCGTACACTTGTCCGGCTGGGTCGTACTTTGATCAGGCCAAGGCATTGTGTGTGTTAGGAACTTGTCCAGCAACTAGTCCTCCAACGACACTGCCCCCTGCAACTACAGCAGGCACAACAGGGTCCACCACCCCACCAGCAGTTACGACCACAGCGGCGCCCGCGACTACGGCAGTCACGACCACCACAGTATCCACAACGATAACCCCATTCCAGTGTGGAACCACGGAGGGTACTTTTCCTGACTCTACAGATTGCACAAAATACAATCGCTGCGTACTCATCGCTGGGGCCATGCGCTTGTATTCATACACTTGCCCTGCGGGATCATATTTTGATCAAGTCAATAAACTTTGTTCGTTAGGAACATGTTAGTTATGATGACCTATTTCATAAGCAGTCTTCCTCAGATGTGGTCAATATATATAAAAATAACAATATAATAGATAGCGGCGTGGGAAAAGTAGGAGACCTTTTCCCACCAAACTTTTGAACCTCCCACGAAACATTTTATTTTTGCTAATCCTTTTTTTCGCTTTATACAATTCTTTAATTCACGCAATTGTATAATAACTTCCCGGAGATGTTGACCTTTATTATAGTAAACCTGATCAAGTTTATGATACAATCAGATAGTTTAATAAAAAAAGATTTGCGCAAGATAAATTTATAACATCTGACTTCTACTCAACCCTCTGTGATCCGTTTCACATACAAATTTGCTTGTGTTAAATAAATTGAATTTCAAAGAAAATATTTTATCAAATTCTAATCATCAATTACGTATACATATCATTACCATTCAGTTCCAGAGAGAAATTTACACAACTTTACATTAGACGAAAAAAATTATGATACAACCAAACCATCAGAAGAAAAGAATATGCACATTAAATTTGAAAAATGTATAACTTACCAATTTTATTTCTCACATATTTTTAATTTTATCTCTTTAAAATTTATGTACTGGGAATTCGTGTCTTTTGCAACTTTCATATAAATTAAGATCGGTTTATCATCGATTTACACCGATTTTCCCAAACCCTTGAGCATATGTCCATGGAGACACCTGCATTTAAGTCTTCGCTAAAAAAGCAGAACATATCATTAAATTTAATTTTTTGCACCATTTCAAAACATTTTGCTTGATAGCATGTCAGACCTAACTTTTAACGCATTGACGTAGAAATATCTCAAGAATATGTACATTAAAAATTCTTCTAACGTATTTATACTTATAAATAATCTTATTGAATAATGCATTTTGCGAACCCGTGCGGCATTAAAATTAATAAAGGGATTATCTCAACAACCAATTTAAAGCTTTGTCGGTGCCTTTCTCTTTCGCTTGCGCATAACGACTTCAAAGAAATATACTATTGTTTAATTACAATCCCATGTTATCATCCGAGGCTCTTCAAAGCCTTGTAATGCGCGGCATAACCCTGCAATCAATGACAATAAACCAACTTTCAGTATGTAATACCAATGTGCATTCAAGAAATGAGGATTTGTTAAATAACAGAGTTAACGCCCAAAATACATTGGCAGGAATGCACCCAATCAGCGCATGTACGAATTATGCAATTAAGGAGTGCTAGTAGTACTAGTAGCATTGTGTCAAACCGAAAAAATCAAGTGAAAACTGGATTTCGGCATAAATGCACAATTCGATTGCATGCCAAGCGATATTTGATCACCTCAATAAACGGGATGTTCACGTTTGTACTGGGCGATTCTCAGGAATTCCAGAATTTAATCCGTTTAATCAAATTATCTGATTTGCCGAAATGCAATTTCGACGGATTTTCTACTGTGTAATTTGGAGAATTAAGTATTCATAAATACTACTTTATTACTGTGCGGCATCCGTTATTTGGTTGTAGAAAGATTCAACTGTAATAAACTTCCAATCAAATTAAATAATATAACGAAGTAAACATAAAATGATGTAAGCATAAAATCCGAGGAATTGCATGGTTAATGATGCGTGCACCTACCGTATATTAAACAATTACCGAACCAATTTAGTGATTAACTAAAATTTCACTTCATTACCTAAAGTTTACTATCTGAACATATAATTTATAAGTATAATCAACGAACAAGCTCATATTCTCCGTATGTTCACTACTTTGAATAGGGAAATCACTCACTAGGTATGCACCCGGATCAAATTTCTATTTCGACAGAAGAGTTTTTCGTTTTCGACAAATTAGACAAAAATTACGGTACTTCTATGATATTTTTTTTACCATTTTGGTCAAAATTTATTTTCGCCAAAACGACTGTCGCCAAACTGTCTGTCAATCAAGGTATTTTGCCCACTTATGCAACTGCACTCATTTTTTATATTGTGCTGATTAAAAGTCTCGACCGGATATCAATATCGATCACTGGTTTACATATGTACCTCTTTACACAATCCTGCTCAGGCACCCATGCCAACGCTCTGATAAGAAAACTATTACCGACGCATCAGACAATTTCTTACGCTCAAAACATAATTATTACGGTCGCGGACCTAATCACGTTTCATCAATTATATCGCGGTCACGTCGCGTACCGTATTTTACGATTTTTATGACTTTGAGTAATTTTAAAATGTGGAAAGGAAAATGTAGAAAAACTAAAATTGCGGGGAAAAGTGACATTTTTACATTTACATACAATTATCAAATTATACATACATACATACATCTATCATTTTATTTATCAATTTATAAAACACATACAACAATTATCATACATTTCTCGACAATAATTAATTGCTGTAGTGTTACCACGCGGTAAGATTGCTTGTTTACTCCGCAGGCAACAACGCATACTATCATAAAACAATTAAAAGTGTATGTATAGCTTGAAACCTAAATTAAAATAATTACTAAAAGCTATTCATATATCGACTGACAATGAGTACTGCGATCAGATGCAAATTTATCAATACGATATTCGTCCGAACATATTGATAGTGTGCCTACTAAGGTTCTGAAATGATTGGGCAATGTCAAGATTATTTTTTAATTGATTACTAGTGATGAAAGAATACCGCCGTCCAATTTAAAAACTATCTCTAGGCTAAATAGGATAGCTGTAATGAGGACCACTACTTCTCGGAACCTGTACATATTTATGTATATGACCGCAATAAAATATATAGGCCGGCGCTCTTTCATACATCAATCTTACACGATTATACCATTAAATTATGAGCAAGTTTATTATTAATAATGTGAAGCGCACCGATCCTGGTGTTCAGAACTTCGTTGGAAGTTCAACGAAACACAGCGAGCAAAATGGGGGTTCAATTAATTTGCAAAACTGCATTATTCGTGAGTCTCATGCATTACTTAAAATTGTCACGTCTGTGCAAGCAACTTGAAATAAATTTATCAACGGACTTTAATCCACACACTTCTATGCAAATTTAGGTATTTGTGCTGGCAACAATTTTGGTGGACGACACTTTAACAAAAAGCGTTTCCCAGAACAATCACTCAAGGATTTTGGACATTGGTATTTTGGTTGATCCTACCAACGAGACCTTGTGCCCACCGAGTGGCGACCCCACGGCCCCTTTCGCGGACCCGAACGATACGTAATTTTTTCATTAATTTACTCGATACGTTTATACAAATATTGACTAATTATGTGCACACAGAACTTGGTATTATCAATGCTTCTTGATTCCTGACCCCACTTGCCAATGTGATTATTGGTACCTTGATCATGCTCAATGCTCTTCAGGAGGTTATTTTGAGGATCCACCAGGCGCATGCGCAGCCTTTCCAGGTAATTTTTCAATTCCTTCAATTTTGTAAAGAGAAATCATGAGTCTACCAAATTTTAGACACAACTGCGCCAACAACAGAATCACCAACAACTCAGCCACAAACAACTGAGCCTTCAACTACTGACGCAGTAACCACTGAGTCACCAACAACTGAGCAACCTACAACCACAGATCTACCCACGACTAAAGACCTACCCACGACCACAGACCTACCCACGACCACATACCTACCCACGACCACAGACCAACCAACAACCACAGACCAACCAACAACCACAGACCAACCAACAACCACAGACCAACCAACAACCACAGACCAACCACAGACCAACCAACAACCACAGACCAACCAACAACCACAGACCAACCAACAACCACAGACCAACCCACGACCACAGAGCTACCAACAACCACAGATCTACCAACAACCACAGACCAAACCACAACCACAGATCTACCAACAACCACAGATCTACCAACAACCACAGATCTATCAACCACCACAGATCTACCTACGACCTTAGACCTACCAACAACCACCGACCAACCCACAACCACAGACCTACCCACAACAGCACTAACAACTACAGTGACAACACCATCGCCGTTCACATGTGTAACAGAGGGCACCTTCTCGCATGCGAACTGTAACATGTATTATAGATGCTTACTCATTATGGGCCAAATGGTCAAATACGAAATGACTTGCCCAGCAAATAGTTACTACAACCAGGTCTCCAGATTATGTGCACTTGGAACTTGTCAGACCACCACCCCGACAACAACTTCCCCCACCACAGTATTAAGTACAATCATAGTAACGACAATTGACACCACAACGGCGGAAGTAGCCACCACCCCTGCGACGACCTTAACCCCATCAACCACTACCGCTGGACCAGAAATGCCTAGCTGCACTGCCCCCGGATTTTACCCATATCCAGGGGATTGTACCCGATATATCAAATGCGTTGCTTTCACTGGGGGTTGGTACATTTACATTAATTCGTGTCCGGCAGAAAGCTATTTCGATGTCAGCATCCCGGCATGCGTCTTTGGAACCTGCCCGGCTAGCTCTCCAACGACACTGCTTCCAACAACTACTGAAATTGCGACAGTACCCGATATAACACCAGAAGCAACCACAACCCAGGTAGTATCCACTACACTAGCTCCTTTCCAATGCGCTACCACCGAGGGTATATTTCCTGAACCCACAGACTGCTCAAAATATAATCGTTGCATAATAATCGCTGGAGCAATGCGCTTATACACGTACATTTGTCCTTCGGGTTCATATTTTGATCCTTCCAAGAACCTATGCGTTACAGGAACTTGCCAAGTCACGCTCCCCTCAACGACACTTCTCCCGGCAACAACTACAATTGCGACGGTTCCCACTACGCCATCAACCACCTCCGCGCCACCCACCACCGCAGCCCCTTTTCAATGTGGCACTACCGAGGGTACATTTACCGAACCAACCAACTGCACAAAATATAATCGCTGCATAATAATAGCTGGGGCCATGCGTTTATACATATACACGTGCCCTTCTGGTTCATATTTTGATGCTTCCAAGAATTTATGTGTTGTAGGGACTTGTTGATTATTGTGACCTTCTTCTGAAAACAGTTTTCTTCAGAAATATTCCATATCCCATATTTATCCATTTCAAGTTTATTCCGTAAATCTGTACGGTTGCGTGGATTTTCAAATTCTGAACCACTTTTTTTCAGAACTTCAAAAATTTGGTTAGAGTTTCCAACACGCTGTAACACATATTAATTTATAATTGTGTCTATTGTTCGCGCTATGTGGCTAACCAAATCACATAATTATCGTAGTTTGTTCCTTTCCTATTGTTTTACCATGATGCAAAATCGACAAATCATAGGATAATAATCAGACCCATTATTGGTTCATTATTTCCATAGCTCTGGTCGAATTACATATTATAACAAAACTTTTAAAATCATAATAAAGTGCGAAGAATTAGACAAGGTGATTTACTTAATGCAAATGTAACAACCCGCAATTTGAATTGGTGTATCTTTTTATGTCAAATAAATACTGACCGATACAAATTTTCAAAACATAATCCTTCGTTATGCACTCGAATTATTATGATCGAAAATGATTGTTTATTCCTTAGTTATCTCTTACACATTCAAACGTCAACCATTAAATAATTGTACATCAATTCTACTTCGAATTTAAAATCATAGTTAGCATAAAGTCCACCAATGCCCTCATGAAAGTCAGAAACGTCCTCTTTTTCATGAGAAACAGTGGATGAGCAATTTTAAAATGTACATTCCACAGCGCTATAATGCTCCTCTTCGTTTCCGACTGCCTGATATGGCTTTCCCGCATAATTTTTAAGAATCTATCTCCCGCTAAGGAAACATCGGCCATAAAATAAGTTTCTATCCAAACGATACAAATATCTCCTAACATCGCAACAAAGATAATTCCCGTAATTATAGGGTTAACAAATTTGTGCAATCGGATACAGAAGAAGGACGTAAAAATGGCAAAAATTAGGAATGTTCCCGCCTGTTGAACAATCCACGGCGAGCTGTAGACAATATTACAGCTCGCGTTGAGCAATTGCTGGGCCTTGTAAGCTTGCAGGATTTCTCCTTCTTCTAAAAGCCCAAGCGGGGTTCTTCGTAATCTGACGATATGCTTCTTAACGGGAAGAGTGTTACTGACAATTCTCCACTTACCTATTTAAAAAAACATTCATTCAAAATTCATTCAATTTGAAACCTTAAACAATATGTCTGTTCATAATTGATTTATTCGAAATTTGAAATTAAATATTGCTAGGTATCCAGTTTTTATTGTCGTTACATATCCCAAATTCGGCGTATCGGATGGATGTCTCAAAATATACCCCATGTATTAAGAGCAAACCGTTAGAAATAAATAATAAATGCAATTATCCATTCCACCTTCATGAGTATGGAATGAATGAATATTTATCACAGGTGGGCAAGATCATTATCTCATATACCAGATCAAGATCAAAGATCAAGATAAAATCTTGATCTTCGATCTTCGGCTAGACCTTTTGATCTTGATCTTGATCTTGCTCTAGCTCAGTAAGATCTTCTATCTTGATCTTGATCTTCAAGTCCAAGATCAAAATCCAAAATATTAAAAGTAGCATTTTGAAACATATTGATAATTTTTTTAAAATAGCGCCTTGGTCCATTACTCAAAGTACATTCAAGGAAACGAAAAACACTCGTACGAGATTTAATTTTTTTTCTAACTAATTAATGGAACCAGTTCTTGAAACGGCGAGCTATTTCCTACATCCGATTGCCCTTAACCCGTCAACAATTTGGGTCAATTTGTGACGACCCGATACTTCAATTATTGCTTAATTTACCAAGAAATGAAGTATAAGGGCAACTTAGAACATCTCACCTAACGTTTTGTTAAGTATTATATGGTACCTATAAGGAATTATAACAACGTTGATGATGTCAGCTTTGAAGAACTAAAATTGGTTAGACAACAAATTTTGGTTACTTATCTAGTATTTGTAGTGTGCACAGTGTACACTACATTACGTTCGGTACGTACATTACACATAGTTGTATTTATCACTTTATGTATAACAAATGTTTGCAACATAGCTGGAATTTATTTGATCTTATGATCTTGATCTTTTATCTTTAGTATTCGGCAGATTTATCTTTATCTTAATCTTTATCTTATGGGACGCAAAATTTGATCTTGATCTTTTATCTTGATTATCGAAAACTTTGATCTTGCCCACCTCTGATTAGACATGCACCGAGTACTCGGCAGGTTTTGGCCGTATCCTCACTACTCGGACTCGGCCGAGTATTTTTTGCGTGCTCGGCTGAGTATTTCTTAAATTTTTTTTTAAATTTTAACGTAGTTTTATTTCACTAATTATCATTGCATTACACAAATTTCACATCAGAAAAGCTGACTAACAAAGGAGTCGTACATTAAAAGTCCCTAACCTGAATAAAAATCGTAGAAATCATAAAAATCTTAAATTTTTATATGCATCCAGTAGCATTTTAGCCGGTACTTACACCGAGCGTTTCAAATTATCCATCATGTAATTTTTGCAATCAACATCAAACTTACTTGAAAAAGACACCAATGAAATTTGTTTATTCTATCCGGTAATCAACTTTAACCGAAATGTTGGAACAGGAAGAAGAATCAGCTGATTCTTCTTCCTGTTCCTACTGATATCAGTAGCTTCACGTGTTTCCGTCCACCAGTTCTCAAAATAAAAATACTGGTAATTAAATATTATGTAAACAACGATTTTTTTGATGATCTTTTTGACAATTTACTCGGTGGCCGAGCCTTGCTCGGTACTCGATTGCGGAGTTTTGCTCGGTGCTCGGCAAACTAGCAGAAACGAGTACTCGGCAAAAATATAACCGAGTACTCGGTGCTCGGCCGAGTCGGCTTTTTCGGTACTCGGTGCATGTCTACCTCTGATATTTATCAATATTAATTCATTCACTAATTCATTCACATTCGTTCACTAATTATTCATGACTTATCACATTTCTACAATAAGTGAATAATTTAGTCATTTTCTACTGAATAAATGAATATGAACAGGTATATAAATACATATGTATATGTTCAACATTACATACCTGAGGAATCATTTTTCTCACTCAAAGCCACCATGGCTACCGCACTTTCCGGCGTGATTACTTTCACCCACGTGGTAACGCATTGCAAATACATAGCTCCCGTGCTGATATAAAAGCCCACGTTTCCTGCCGCCTTGAAACCGGCGAAGGTCGAAAAAACTATGACCGGCAGCATTCTCAAGCTTATCTTCAGTGGGGCTCCTCCATTCACGAGGAACGCGATGAATCGATGCAGCGGAGCGTTCTTATCGAGCACGATAATTCCAAAGATGGGCGGTGCGGCAAACTGTGTCAGGAGGCAGGTCGCCAGAACAGCGAGTTCAAGAAGGAAATATTTTGTGGTTGTGAAAAGGTCCCGATGCAAGACGAGTTGGGCTGAAAATTCTCCTAAATAAATTATAATTTGCTTCATAACGCATGTATTTATGACTCGATAAATGATCATCAAAATTTTCAAGATAAAACTAATTTGAATTGTTTCCAGCTCTGGGAATTTATTCGTTTTACATTTTAAATTTCTAGACGGAATACTCGTAGGAAGTACATACATATATACCTACATAAGTTGAATTATTTGGCGCTGGGCGTTTAGACTTTTCTCAAAAATACTGTACAAACAGCTCTGCGAATATACAGTGAATGAATTAATGAATTGCAGGGAGCTTCTTTAAAAATTGATCGTCAGCTAATTGTCTACCGGTTTTTAAGCTTGAGATGTCCTTGAAAATCATAGAATCTGGAAGGTAGGTTTAAACATTTGTAATGACCTGCACTATAAATTTGCAGTCCAGATGTTTAAAATCAATTCCCAAAGCTGAAAAATAATTCGGATTTTTCCAATTTTTGATATCGAGTCCTACATATGTATGTATTTACCTTTCTAAATTTTGCTAGGATTTTAAATAAACATGAGACATAAACCGGCTTTAAATATTAACATTACGTTTTAATCGTTCGTCCAAGGTCAACATTTGGTTTACAAAGGTTACCACGTCATCCCGCTTCAATAAGGTGAACATCATGATGCAAACATTAGCAGCAAGCAGGGTTGCGTAGGCTGTGTCAAAAACCAGTTTCGTAATAAAGTTGGTATTCGAAGTTTCCCTGCTGTGACTCCAAATCCTGGAAACGAGCCGAATTAAGATAGCGACAAAATACGCGGCAAAATAAATCACCCAGAGAAACCAGAGTTTCATATATTTTCGCGGAGATAGCGCGACACGGCGGGAAAACGCGTCCCAGCGGAATGGAGAGACTTTGTCAATTGAGGAAAATATGATGAATCGAGAGTACCACTTGATTATAAAATTGCTCAGCATTTTGCATTTTACGTGGTTACAAAGCTAGCCGTTGCTTCTAGATTTGCACTAGAATTTCTGTGTGTTGGATAGGTTGATGGATGTGGAAAACAAGTGAAAGAGCTACAAAGCACATGAAAAACGAGTCCAAAAAAGGCGAATCGATTTATTGACATACATTTCATATTACGAATTCCAAGTTCAAATTTCATGAATATCCTATAAGTGTATGATAATTTACTTATTTCACAGAGGAAATGATTCCCCTCGTGGATATCGTATCGATTTTAGATTACTTAAAGTATGTATTAAAAACTTTAAAGGATTTGTTTACCTACGCGGGCACACATGCAATTATTTAGTTAGCATTCTGTTTATTATAATAATTTTATGTATTTATGTATTTATCTACCTACATACCATCTACGTCAAAAATATAGGCATACAAACATGTATGTGTGGTCAATAATATATGCAATATATGAGTTAAATAAATATGTATGTAACGAAGAAGATAGCTTCCCTCAAATATTAAATTGACAACTTTTGATGCTCTTTGGTAAATAAGGGAAACTGGAATGTCCCAAAAGCTCAATTGCCTGAATTTCCCCTCCGTTTTTTTTGTCATGTAAACTTCTTAGTATTATTTGTGTAGTTTTGACATAAATGATGGGGCTGGTAGTTAGATAGTAAAATGTAGCAAGTACTTCACAGGTGGAAAACACTTGCACGAAATTAGTGCACAAAAATGTTTTTATCGTTTTAAACCATGTAACCGACTTCAGGAAAAATGCATGCACAAAAATTAACAAAAGGGGAAAAAATGTGTTCTAACATATTTAGTTTCAATACACTTCCATTTTTTGATTACCTAAAAAATCATTAGTATTTTTTCGTCATTTTAGCTTTTTAATATCAAACTACAGAGGGATGGGACAGAAGAAGGAGCCACTTGAATTTTAGGGGTGGCGTGTGATGCACAGCCGCGGCATTTTCAAAATTTGCATATGTCATACCCAGATAGATAACGAAAATTTAGCACTATTCAGATTTTCCCTACGGTTAAAAATGCCCCTACAGCACCCCCCAGAGTGCGAGGCACGCATAAAAGTGTTTTCCAAAGACATATTGAG